GCTTTATAGAAAATATCATTTTTTACAACTAGATGTGAAAAGAGTCAGGCCTGGGTTTAGTTGATCTCATCTGGCAGAGATTTCCAAATCTGCTTTTCCTCAAAGAAGACAATACCTTTTTCTGTGGTGTTGGTCAGCCTGTTGTATTCTCCCAGTGGAGAACTGAGTCGAAGGGATCAGAACAGCCCAAAATGCTCGTGAGCAACTAGGTTATTGTGTGCCTCGTGTATGTTTGGGCTTCATCAAACCCTAGGGTGTTCTCATGTGGTTTGCTATGCTACAAAAATGTCAAGTCTTTTAGGCTGAGATGGACGTAGAGCCTGTACACTATTGTGAAGCTCCTGTTGGGTAACAGCAGGGGTCATAAGCAATCAAAAAGTGATTTTTAAATTACTCAGGATTGAAAATAGATGTGAGACACATGATTAGAAAACTCCCTAAGGATGTTAAGATGATCACATAGATAGGTGGGCGAAGCTTTGGCACAAAGTTTCGGAAAGACAAATGTGGTGGAGAGAAATACGGGGAGTGAGAACCCACTTGGTCTTTTCAGCTGCTGGAAACCTGATATTCTCATGGTTTAGGCAGTTTGCGTGAGGCGGGTACCCTGGCCCACACTGCTGCCCACTCCAAGATTGGACACGACAAGCTTCTTTTTTAAGCCAGCAGAGACTACCCCAGAATGGGATCCACTTTCTTCGGTGTTGCGAGACTGTTGTGCCGCACATCCTCTGTTGCTGTAGTGGAAACTGTACAGGCAAATCATGAAGTACCTGCTAGGCAAATGCTTGAGGGCAGAAACTTTTCAGCTGGACCACTGGTTTTGTATAGCGAATAAGCTCAACGGGATGGCTGCAGCTGTCTGTGCTAAAAGGTTTTATGGAGTTTTTTTGTTTTGATTTTTTTTAATCATACTGCATCAGCAGTATGATCACCATCTTCAACCTCCTGTACAGCTCTGCCCATCTCATTGCTCTGTTTGCTAGTGTGTGTGTATACAGGCTGCAGAGGGGAGTTTCGTCCGGTCCCACGGTGCCCTCCCTGCCCCTCCCATGGTTATGTTCAGTACATGGAGCCACACTTGCAAGGAGGAACAGGCTCCGTGGGTTGGCTGGATATAAGGAAACGTCTGGAGATCGGGGAAACAGGACAAAGTGCTGAGAAAAGGCACAAATCCTGAAGGATGAGACAAGGCAGCTGAGGAAAGGTTAGAGGAAGGCAGGGAGAAGCTAGCAGCATGCAGTGCTGTTGGGGGAGCGCCGGCAGCCCAGGATGCAGGCCCTGAATGCAGATGAAACAGCAGCCTCCTGTAGCAGGGAGCTGGCTCTTGTGTAAGAGCTTTTCAATGCATGCACAGTTAAAAATAAAAGGTGTTTGTATAGCATTGACTCTCCACGTGCTAACATGAAGAAGAATGCAAATAGAAGTGTGAGCAGCAAGGAGGAGGCGGTTTAATGGCTTTGGGGATTAGCAGTGGTATTTAGAGCCTTTCACCTCTCTGTTCCTAGCATAAATCTTAACACAGATTGATGGTTTTAGCCATCTGGCTTGTGTTTGCTTGTATGCAATGACTAGTGAGACAGAGAAAGAACCTGACCAGCAAGGCAAAAGAAAAACAAAAAAAAAAGTGTATGACAGAAGAAGGCATCTTCTTCTCCAGTGTCAGTAAGAGCAGGTATGGTGCAATTCTGTTTCACAGAGCTCAGCAGGTAACAGGGAGAGGGGACTGAAAGAGTAACAGGCATCGTTTGGTACATGACTCTGCCAGGGAGCCTGTGACTTACACAGATGTGTATGCTCTGAGCAACTCGCTCCCAGATGCAGAGCTCTGTGATCTTTAAAGATAGAGTTATCCCAGATAGCATGAGAGTTCGAGGGCAAGTTTCAATCACAGGTTGACTCTCAACTGTAAATTATTTTATACTTGACTGGAAACTGTTCTCCCATATATCACCCGTCTAATACCTTAATTTTATATACTATAGCCCAACTTATAAGCTTGAAAATTGTGCACTCTCAACCATATGACACATTTTGGATTAGATGGCTTCCTTGTATCCTAAGTGTTCTAAATACTGATGCAAGTTTTCTTGGGCTTGTGTGGGCTGACCCTTGCAGGGAGTCACTGTCAGTTTTCCTCCACTCCAGGCTGCAAGGTCTGTCATTCCTTTTCCAGCAAGGTCATCTTGGTAGAGTTTCTCAAAATCCAGGGCTTTAATGGGGAAGCCATGTGACAGGTCACTGTTCTACTTCTCCAGACAAAAGGCTGACCAAGATCAGGTACCCGTGTGCGCACACTTTAGCACTTCTTCCATTTTTCAACAGCTCTTGAGTAAGGGTGAGAGTTACAGAGGACCTCACCTCTGGTCTTTCAAATGGGGGAGTTCGGACAAGAAGTATTGACAATATGTCTTTAAGGAAATGTTTACTGGTGTCAAAGATTCATTGGGTTCTTCTATGGTTTTACTCAATTTTGCTTTGGGATTGACTGTCTGTGGTGCATATTTCAAACCAAATCAAACCTCTAGAAAGCTTCCTTTAGATGGAGTAAAAACATGTATAGGGAACATTAAAAAAAAAAAAAAAACCACCACCAAAAAAAATAGGTATTACAAATCTAATTTATGGCAATCTTGGTGCTGATTTTGCTTTATATTAGGCATGTAAAGCTTCAGTAAAAAGCACTTTTACTTGCTTTTACTTCTTCAGAACCAGTAACCAAGAAACTGCCTGTGGTATCATTCTTTGGGCGAGAAAGTGAATGAATTTGGGATATAGATTTCTAAACCACTGTTTTTTGTCTCAAATAATTGGTTTTGGCATACAGCTCTGATAACTAAACATGGTGTTTATCACTTCAGCCAGCCACACCAAGGTCAGTGAAAAAGACCACTTTATATTTCACAGGAAAGCACTTCCGCCAGATGCATTAATATTGTGAGAGTAAGAATTATAGACACATGAAGTGACTGGGGAGTGCAGTGTGCCAAAGTGAAACTCAGATTCAGATCTAGATTGGGGTAGAATTTTCAAAGGCACCACAATGACCTAGAGATCATGTCACCAAGTGATTGGGAGCCCAACTCCCATTTTCAGAAATTACGTAAGGACTTTGCTGCCTTTCAGCAAGACTTAGGATCCTTTTCCCAGAAAAAACAGCCTTTAATTCACAATTAGTTCACACAAGCAGTCTTTGCCTCTTCATAATTATATTGCATAATGACTTCACTACTTTTTAATAACATCAGATTTCTTGTCTGTGTCCATTATCACCAGCTTAGAAGCTATTCTGTTGCTTTGGGAATTTCGTATTCCAAGTCACTTACAGAACTATAATTAAGAACTTCCGCAGAAGACCAGGTGATATATGTATGTTAAGATATTATATTCTGCTGATTTAGTGTCAAGTCTTAGATTAATTTGAAATTTTATCATGCTGGTTTCATTATAAACGCTTCCATGGAAAGAACATGTTATTGGAAACTGAATAATTAATAATCTCTATGTTAACCAAATGTTTTCTGAGTGCTTTGTTGAAAAATGTCAGGACTCCAGTTGGAAATCCTGGCTCTGTTGAAGTCAATGGCAGAATTCCCACTGGCTTTAACAAGATTTTTCATTTCCTTATCTCAAAAATTACTTGTCAAAGCTCCTCAAAGTTTCTGTATACAAATTCATATTTGTACAGTTGGGGTCCATGTGCCTTTTGATCTCCAAAACGATTGTTTGCAGAATAAGGAGAAAGGAAGTAAAAAAAAGTGCGGTCACTTTTTTCAGTCCTGATCCTTTGGGCCGGACTGAAGCATACTCAAGAGAAACGTAACCTGCTGTCATTTAGTGGCTTCTGAAAGTCCTGCCCTCCAGGTCATGTCTGAATGAAATGGAAGGAGGAGAAGGATGGATACAGATCCATCTACTGTAGATTCACAATTATCCATGAAAATTCTCACACTTGTGATTTTAATGCTTATAGCAAACATAATTGCCAGTCAGGCCTCTATTATTAACCAATTGTTCTGTTCTCATGCTACTTAAAAGTTTCAGGCTCCAAATCTTGATGAAAGCAGAGCTTAATCCTCATAGCATGTGTCACAGCATTTGGATCTCAGCAGAGTTTATAGTGTAAAGATCTGACCCTGTAAACTAGGACCTAAATACTACTGTTAATTTTTATTACCTTTGATCGTAGTATTGCAAAACTCCTTTGGGTTCAAATGGTGGTCATAATATGCAAGCTTGAAAGATGTTAAGCTTTAGACAGAAATTGTAGGCTTCCTACCGAATTTGCATGTGCCCAAATCCATTTAAAAGGGTATAAATGGAGTCTATATGAATTAGGAACATAGTTGACATAAACTTCTTTGGTCAATGAGCTCTCCATTAGATGCTTAAGGCACTGGAACATTGAATTACCTAGGTGTTAACTAAGGCTAATAATTTTTTTTTCCTCATCAAAACAACTTGCGGTGAGAAATTCCTTTGTTACCGAAATGCAACTTTTTGCAGAAGGAATCTGCTTTCTTCATATATGATCTTAGTAATTACAAATGTTTAATTCTTGGCTAGCCCAAGTTTGATCTTAAACCAAAGTCCTATCTGGCAAATTTATAGTAACTTCTTTATGTGGTTATGATTCCTGGATAACTAGTTCTCTTCTTAACATAGCCAGCTGTTCCCAGGAAACAAAGCAAACTGAAACTTGACAAGTGAACAAAAAAAAACTCTGCTAGAAAAGAGAATGCAATTTCATTTCATACCAGTCATAATTTGCAGAATTATGCAGAATTTTAATCCCTGTCTTTATTCCCTGCATTTCCTGTATCTGTTAGTAACAGTCTATCTAGTATCAAAACTTTTTCCCATCCACCTCCAGATCTCACTGCAAAATGTTAAATGGGAGGAAGCAAACCAAGATATGGGCAATTCGAAACATGGAATATTTCATTTTAGATGTTTCCTGGTATTCTTATTAATAATTTTCTTTCAATTTTTTTTGACAGATGATGCTAATGAAGAAGGGACTGAGCTGTGTGAAGAGACAGGTGAGTAAGCAATATTTTATGCTAAAATATGTCACTTCTCTGGAGCATCAACCTAACTGAAAGAATTCTTGAAACTATTTGCCTTGGTTGCGATAAGCGGTGCCAATCATTTATTGGCAATGCTACAACAGTCATCTCCGGTTTTTAACATAACATAGGTTAAACCATCCCTGATAATAAATAGTACATGGTAAGAATGGCTGAGACTATCTTTTTAATGTCATCATCTGTTAAGAGCCTCTGGGTGATACTCTGGTTGCTTTTTATTAATAACTAGTTTGAACATGAATGGGAAAGAATTAAAATTCTGCAGTCTCTTTGTCTGTAAAAAGGTGTGAATGCAGCAATTCTTGAGTCATTTACAGTTCTGATTTAGTGGCCATGATTTGTTGCAATGAAAACAGTAGCAAAACTCTCCCACAAACTCTTAAATATGTTGAACTTGATTGGATGGTATTTCAGAGGACTTTTTTCCTGGTCCCTCCTAGTTTGCTGCTTAAAACAAGTGTCAACATTTAGGGTTTGTGGATGTGGATAGACTTGAAATGGAAATGATGGATAGGTATAAAGGAAAGAAAGGCCTGAGGAGCAAGAAAAGCAGAGGACAGAGGATTAGATATCTCCCATGAGGACAAAAGCTTCCAGTCAGAAGACGACTTCTAGTTTTTTGTAGAGAGCTTCATCCACTTAATCTTCTCGATCAGGCTTTTTGTAACAGGCTTCCACCACAGCACCCTGGGTTACTCTCCCTGCTGACCTTCACCTAGAGATTCTCAGCAGACATCTGTTCCATAAGAGACTTCTGTGCAGTGAAGGACCTCCTTTTATAGGCAGTGTAGCTCCCCTTGCTCTTCTTCTCTGCCTCTCCTTCCTAACCAGCTCGTACCCATCTGTGCCGGTGCATCAGGCATGTGCACTGGCCCCCTGGACGCTGTGACCCTGATCCCATCACAGCCCAGTGACTGTGCAGGAACTTGCAGTTCTTCTCTTTACAAAATGATACGGGATCAGAAAGGAGAGCCCCATGGAGAAAGGCAGAGATATACCAGCCAGAAAACAGAGGTAGACACTTTTGAAGAAGTATGTTGGCTGCTTAAATTGGCAACATTGTCCTAAAGACAAATGGATTATGATGATTTATGCAACCAGTTAATTAGCTTAGAAATTAGAAATACTTGAAGAATGGTGTGTATGCATAGATGTGAAAACATGGATATACACACATAGATATGCGTTACACTGATGGATTAGCACATTCTTTTATGGCTGTTCTGGCCTGTTGATTTTATTACATATAATTATAATTACTTTTTGGTGTCACGATTACTGGATAGGAACTTCTAGAAATTTTAATACAATTAGTGTGATTGATATAGTTGTACATACATATATAAAAGTAGAAAAATAAAGACTGTCATTATACAACAAATATTTGCCAAAAATTATCCTACAGTTGAATTTGCAGTATTCATCTAACATTTCCAATTTAATTTTTTACAGTTATCATGGCATGTATACTTTTATAAGCCCAATTATTTTGCATTTTTTCTCTTGTTGCTTTTATGGAGATTATGCAAATTACATTGATTTTTTTTTTTTTTTTTAAAGCATTTAAAATTAGAATTAAAAGGAAGTACATTTCCACTTAATAGCTGGTCTCTTCTTTCTTGCCTTGTATCCTTCACAGCTTCATTAATTTGGGTAAAGCTACATAGCTGCTCTGGGAAATTATTACTGAATTAAGTCATTTGAGGAAGATATTTCCCTACTTGTCTGTTTCTTTGTGCATATGAGAGAGATGAGATCATAGCTTCCCTCACAGGTTTGCCTGTAGGGCGCTATGAGCTTCAACAGCACGTACTGGGTTATTTCTTTATCACTTGGAGATTTTTTGGGAATCAGTGCATTGATTGTCAGCAATCAATACCTACATGGTTAAAGAGAAGTATCTGATGTATATCTGCTCCAGTAGTGGGGCAGATATACAAAAGTTATGCCCTCTTGACCTATTTGTGTATGGACTTTTTAATGATTGTAGGATGCATTTGCAGGAACTATAAATACATACGTAATTTCTGCATCGAGGGGAGTTTTCATTTTTATACTCAAGATTTTTATCAGTTTGAAGGCTATCTGCTTTTTAGTGATCTAAGGGAAAAACAGAGTAGCAGCTTCTACTCATCGCTTCAAGATATTAATTGAATAATCATTCTTCATTCCACTTGACTTCATGGGTCATGACTCTAGCAGATGGAGTTAGCAGTTGGCACCAATATTGATGACCCTGGTTTTTTAAGCTGTCCATATCCAATCTGCTTTGGGGTTATTTTTCCAATTCCTGTGCTTAAGGAAAAACAAAAAAGGAAAAAACAAATGTTGGATTCCTGGAGAGCACATGTTGCAGACTACACACGGGTAGGACCTTTGGCAGATATTCAAATATTCTAAATTTCACCCAAATTCCTGTGCCTCCAACTTCCTATTGCTGTGGCTAGGTGTTTCTGAGGGCCAATATCGAACCAAGAGAAAACACAGAGAAGTACAGGGACACAAATGAGATGCAGACTCATTGTATCTGTACCAATTTCCTTTTGAAGAATGTAGTAGAATGAGGTGGAGATTACAGAATTGGTCCTAATTTAAACCTGGTGGCAAGAATTAGAGGAAAAAAAAACCTGATCCTGGTCTGGTGTCAGCTGAAGTCAGTGAGAATATGTCCATTGACTTCAGTGCACACCAGATTAGGCCTTGGGAACAGCCAGAGAATTAGCCGGGAGTAAGGAATAACAGATGACCAAATGTGTGTATTACTGAGTGGAGGATACATTATGAAAGTAATCTGTCTTGTGTTTCTACCACCCTGGAGTGCAAATATCTCATTACACGCAGAAAGGCCTTTCTTTCTATGATTTCTGTTCAGAATAAATAAGGGAATATCTTAATTACATCTGCCAGATAATCTCCATTAATATCTACATTAACACTATAAAATCAACAAGCATGAATGATCTTTTTAGCGAGTTAATCATGTAACGTCACTGCATATATTGGATGTACTAGAATAAGAAAAACATTTAAAAATAAAAATAACTTAGTCTTATTAAATGTACACACTCAAGACCACTCTTAATGGTGTTTGACTCGTGGGATTTTAACCCATCAGTTTGTTATTCTGGATACTGTATCTCGTAGCAGCTGCTGACTTAACGGCACCATTTAATTCAAAGTGCTTTGATGTTATCATATGTCATACAGTTTGCTGTTAGAATGGCTTGAGTCAAAAGGGCAGATACAGTAATAGTGGGTACGGACCTGTGCAGTTCTATATCTCAGCTTTCCTTTATGAATGATTTCCTACATAAGCAAAGAGAAGGACCAGATGACCTAATAGTCTTGTCTACCTTTAACTTCAGTGATTTAACACTGCAGAGTCATGATGCTTAATGTTTTAAGCTCCATTAAGGGAAGATTATTCCAAACTTTAACTTCTGAAGGACGTCGCTTTTATACCCATAGATTCACATACCCATGCACAGAAGCGTGCAAAATAAGCCCTAATATTGCCGTAATCGTGTGCGCAATTGCAGTGATTGCATGTGGAAATTACAGAAGCACGTGCTTTTATGGGAAGCACGGCCCAGATTTCTACACAATAGTATTGCATTGTTAGGCACTGACATAAGTTAATTCTCTTACTGTTAAAAAAAAAAACCAAAACAAAACCCAAAAAACCCACAAACACACAGAAAAGAGTTTCAGTTCTGAATCTGTATTCTCCCTCCCTCAACCTCTTCAGCTTCACTCTCCACCAGGTACCAAGACCTTGTGACCTCACCTGTATGAATGTTGCCACACTACTCTCTCTCATTTCCCATCTAATAGTTGTCATAATAAATGCCCTGCTGGTTATCCCATTTCTATCCTGAGCATCCTAATTAACCACCAATTCATTACTTCAGAAGCCACAGCCGGCTAGGGTGGGAGGATGAAAGATCTTGTTCACACTAACAAGGGAAGCCCTATTATAAACAATGCTGTATAAATAGGGAATTTCTTTGTATGTTCCACTGTGTGCACACTCTTATACTTGGACACTCTTTTTTGGAGGGAGACTTTCTCTTTTTTTCTGAGATGAAAATAGCAATCTCTTGTAACCACGGAGATTTGGAAGTTGTGAGGGATTTGGGGAATAGCTTACTTGGAGACACACTGTGAGATTTAAGTGGCTTGTTGACCCTCTGTATTAGCCTATAAAGAAGAATCATTTCTCCCACTGTTGGAGCTCAGAAACCTTTTTGCACAGATGATCACGATTAGAAAAGCTTTTAATACGATCAGTTCAGACACCTTTCTAGGAGTGCTGTTTTTAAACAGAAATTTGCAGGCAAAATTTCTGTAATATTTGGCTAACTGTTCTGAAAGACATACGTGCTGTTGGAGAACAGAAAGGGTTAAGAGTTGTATTTTGACCATAATAAAAAGACATTATATTGAAGCCTACACAAATCCTTTTCTGTCTCTGGAATGAAGGAAATCTGCTAAAAAGCAGTGAAATTGCGATTGAAATCTTGTTCTCCTGGGACAGTGCCTCTACATCCTATTGTGAGCATTTTAAGGTTCTTTATAGAGTGCAAAAAGATCATTTCTTTTGAGATAGTAACAGTTCTGACTTCTCTGAATGTAAGCCTCGTCCCTCTCTGTCTTTGTGCTGTCAATTAAGATGTTGGTTATATTATCTAACGTATTCAGATACTCCTGAAAGACCTGGCTGGGCATTTGCACTTAAACTTGATTGACATTTGACTTGTGGGACTGGAGGAAGCCTCACAGATTGGTTAGATGATAAAATTCATCACTAGAGGGGTGAGTGTTGATTGAAACACTCCTATTGATTCAATTCCCTGATGTGAACCGTTGTCAACCAAAAAAAGGGAACGTAGCAGGTAGTTCAGAATGGCATTAGAACCAAAGCAGCCATACATCAATATGGTCCACTGTAAATATTCAAGATATTTTTTAAAAGAGTGGGAGAGTGTTGGCAGAAATCAATCTTTAAAAGCCTGGTTATTTTCAGGATCTCTGTTTTGTATTGAAGTTCTTGTTGAACTCTGTCACCGTTGCTCCTGAGTAACCCCATTAAAGGGTTGACAAAGTGTGTCTTTTTTGGCGGGTTTTGTCTTTATTTTTCCCCACAGTATTTCTTGTGGTTGCTCTTACATTCTCACCACTCCAGAAATAAATTCGTCTTAGCACTTGAAAAGTCATGTTTTCTTCAAAAAAATTGTATTTGAATTTCAAATTCAGATGAGCAAATGTGATGGCATGGCACATGACATGTCCTATGTTAAGTGCTGTCAGGAAAGGTCTACCTCCTGATACCAAGCGAAACCTCAAAGCATGTTCTGCTTTGCAGAAACTGGCTTTATTTACTGATCGCTAAGGGCCCTTCATGCTCTGAGCTATATGGAATTCTATAAAGAAACTGAAATTCCATTCGAAAAGAAATTTTTAAGAACAATATTCAGTTTGGCCTTTTTGGGTAATGCTCATTCCTTAAAATTAAGCAAGTGAGATGGAATTTAATTACTCACAGATCTCCGTTTTGGAATTTTTGTTGATGTTTTGAGCTGTTGCTTCACATAAATTCCTGCCAGCTTCCCAATCTGTAGCTCTTCTTTTTTGGACACAAGTACAGTAGAGTAACCAGTTTCCCAGGAAGGCAGAGAACGTTTCGGAGTTTCCTGGGCTCCACGCAAAGCCAATGATTCACTCCCTTTTTTTCTCTTGAACGAACACAGTATTCCCCTTGACCCTGCAAGTTCCCTTTCCACATCCTCGCTTACTTCTTTCATACCTCCTGTTTGGAAACTGTTAACATTTTGGTTCTAGATATATGTTGTTGTGGAAGGGTAGGAAATAAAAGGATAGTATCTACAGCTTTTAGCAGAGCCAAGTCCTTTATGGGAACTGGGCATCTGATTGCTGAGAGCTGTTTAAAAGTCCAGCGACATTCAGAGTAGATGATTGTGTGGGGTATGTATGACAGCAGAAGAGATGGGAGGTTTTGGAGCACTTAAGCAATCTGTAATACACATGTAGATAGCTTTTTTTCCTAGTTGCTAATTAGCTAATCAGTTTGAGGTAATACCATGATTCTTTTTTCTCACAGCATGGCAATAGGGGTAAATCAAGCAAGGTCATGTGTCTTCCTAAATTTCCTGCTTGCAAGTGGTCAAGATTTCTTTCCAGCAAGCACAAAAGTGTGTTTTCTTTAGGCTTCTCCTTCACCCGAGCCCACAGTTTGCCACAGGGAATCAGGAGGTTTGACAGAAAGTCAAATGATAGAAAGCCATTTTCCCATTGCGGTTGAATAGATTCAGTAGGTGCAATGAATTGAGTTTTAATTGTCTGCCATTCTCTGCTTTCGTGGTTAAGCAACAATGTTTGAAGAATGTTTTAATTAGTGAACCTGTTTTCATTAAAGGTCTTAATTTACAAATACTTTTTATGATTAATTTCCAGCTTGGCCTCCCTTTTGTACTGACAGGCTTTCTGTGCTACCAGTTTGTGCCTTGAGGTCTATCTTAGCAAAAACCAGTAATTTCATCCTTTACGTTAAGATGACAGGATATCTTGAAAATGTTGTAGAAAAAGTTCATAATTTTTAAAGTTTAACCAACTGATATTAAACACTGTGAACTTCAGTCCCTACAAATAGGGGAGATCTTAAACTTCACTGGCCTCGGTTACTGTTTTTACTTAGGAGGTTTTCCTTTTTCTCCATCTTCCTGTTGCTTTCTGGCTAAAAGGTTGGAATGGATTTTTTCAATGAGAACAGTTCTATCTCATAAAGCTTTCATTTCCTTACCTTTACTTCGGTATCAAACTTGCTTCCCCACCTTTCGTTTTATTACTAATTTCAGTCAATATTCATTTGTTACTGTGTTATAACATTGAATGGAGAATTGAGCCGAGAGGGAAAAATCATTTCGTTCAGATTATTTCTCCACAGTTCCATAATGCAGTATAACATATATTTCATTAAAAACTACAAATTAAAACATTATGAAGTTTTTTATTTCTGAAAAGATAAGGAGCTTGTGAAGAAGTAGGTTATTTTAGTGTGAGCTTTCTTCACTGCTGTCATGTGAAAGTTAGGGAAAGTCCAGTCCACACTGAAAGAGGCCTATTATGATTTTTAAAACAGATGACGCAGTAATTAATTTTAATAATAGAAAGATAGGCATTGGACACTGAATGGAGTGCTGAGATAAAAGGTGCTCACAGTTGCAGTATTATGCATAGTAATATTTGATAAAATAAAACAATTTCAAAGTAATACAGGAATTCTTTTTTTTTTTTATGTTTAAAGAAGGATTGGAACAAAAAGGCCAGCCTCCATCTCCCACAAAGAGCAAAGCAGAGCAGCCTGAGGACCTGCAAGATGATGCTGAAGGTAGGTGGTCTGACAGCTTTTCAGAGCTATTAATCAATTTTGCATTTTGGGGGGAAAGGCTTACTCTGAATTCTTGGGAAAGAACTGGAAAATTTTCATTTAAGAACGTTGTTTGCACACACTTGGAAAGTTCCTTTCGGCCTAGATCATGAGATTGTAATTCTTCTGAAGTATATTTCATCTCAAGGTAAATTCAGAATTACAAATGCTATTTTTATGTCATGGGCTACTAATTATTGCTGATATAAAATGAGAAATTGTTGCTGTTTTATCTCTAACCTGTTCTGATTTTATGTAATTAATAATACAAAATGCAATGCATGTTCTGCAGGGCTTGGGTCATACTCTGGTTGATTAAGTTGGTCAGGTAAATCAGCTACCTGCTGCAAAACAAGGAGCAACAAAATTCTTGCTTTCCTTTTCTACAAGAAATTTTTGCTGTATCCCTTTCCACTCCAGTTACAGTGTTTATGGCTCTAGACCTTATGCAGTGTATTACATCTGTCCATGGTCAGAAGTCACAGGTGCTTAACATTATGCCTGTAGTAGTGTTCCTGTAAGAGTGCTTTCCTGCACTTGAGTCTTCACAGGGCAGCTTGTCCATGTGTACAGAGGTAGATGTGGTCTACGTTGTTCTAAAATTGGATCAAAGTATCTTTTCTTAATCTGTATGTCATTGGGAGAGTTGTTAAAAGATGTTAACATCAAAGACTTATTTTCAGAGTGCAGAGTTTCACGTTGCTCTTGTGTGTGTGGAAGAGCAAAATGCCTCAATGCTGGAGAATTCCCCTCACATGAAATGGTTAAAAGGATGAGCCTTAATCTTTAATCCATGACAGTTCCTTATCATGGAGTCTCTTTGACCTAATGTTCCTCAAATGACATGCCTCATTCTGCACCTCAACCAGTGGCTCCACGATCTTCATCGTTTTGACCCAGCACCGTGCATTCAGCTCCTAAAATATTCTGACTGGGGTATAGTGTGCGTCATAAAGAGCAGAAAAATGTTAACATCTATCACTTTAAGTAACTGCTAGTAACATCCTGTCACTAACATTGTGACTGGTTGTTAATGGCAAGTACTTAAAGCAATAGCTGTCATCGCCTGGAAGGTGTGGGGGGACCCAAGAAATCTCATCCTGACTGGTCGTCTTTCCTTTCATGCTGCACTAAACCCAGCTGAAATTAAAATACAAATCTTATGTTTGGATTAGAGAATTCAGTGATGACAAACCACATGTCGATTTGTATGCAGGCTAAACGGTGTGTGGGAGCGTGGTGTCATTTTCCATATTCCTAAACACAATAATAGTTTTTATGATAAATTTTTATTTGGAGTGTGGCTTTCATTGTATCAATGTCAAAAAAAAAAGAGGGGGGGAAAGAAGTGTTGCAAAACTGTAGGGTTTTCCTTCCATTGGAAGAATAACTGATGTTTTTCCACTATTTCTATGGCTTACTAGGTACGGTTTCCTAGTTTACTATGCCTGTCAATGTTTTCTGGTGACCTACAGTTCACTTTGTGGAGCACAAACAAATGCATTGGAAGGGTGAAGTAAATAGCATGGCAATAGAATGATTGCATTACCCTCGAGCTGTAAAATGCCTGAACTCCTTGAATTTGATGCCGTACAGTAGATTTTGCTGATGCAGAATTGAGGCCTGTAACACATAATCACTGCTGCAGAATTTAATCTAGCCAGCGACGGAGTCCTCTTCTCCTTAGGCAGGAATCAGTCCTGTAACGTTTAGGATTGAAAGTCTAAATTTAGACTTGAGGGTGTTTGTGATGGGGGAAAAAAAGGTAATTAAAGTGTTTGCTGAGAGGGGCTGGGGAAGAAACCTGGATCAGATTTCTGTGGCATTACCTGTGCCTCTGTTTTGAAGAGGAGTCAAGCCATTAGGCTCCAGACACTGAATACCTATAAAGTTGCCGAGTGGCTAGAGTCTAATGTAACACACCTGTGAGCCATTTCCATTTCAGTAAATGGGATTTTCACACATTTGTCTGAGAGTAGGATTTACTTTCTAGTGTTCTAATTATTAGCTGTTGGTTTTGACTAATTAAAAGAACTTTTAATGGGGAGCCTTGAAGGTTATGAAAGCTGTGAATATGTGACATGAACCAGAACTACATGTCTGAGTAATTTTATTTAGGTAGGAGTTTGTCTTCACTTCCAAAAAACTGCCTTTTTCTTTCTTTTTTTTTTTTTTTTTTTTCTTTTTAAAAGAACTTCTGAGTAGCTAATGCATATAAACAGTCTCAAAACACCATAAAGCCAAACACTGCCCGAGGTCAACTCTGTTGAATTTTCCTCATGGTAAAACTGAAGTGCTTTGTGTTCAGTGTGTTTTGACTTTGGGATAGTTCACATGCTTTAGGTACCCCAAATTTAAAAAAAACAAAACACCACCAAAAAACCAGCAAACAAAAAAATGCCCACAACCCATATCTTTTAGCAATAAAAGCAAGTCCAAAGATACTTATATTTAACATGAGATATTATTTTCCCCTTGGTAACATGACCAGATATAAAATATTTAACAAATATACACTGAAGCACAGGAAGAACCAGACATTTTTTCCTCTGTTTAGTTGTCAGTGTTCTTTTAGACTGAAGATGGGAATACAACTTGCTATTTTAACAGCCTCATGCATGCCCTTGTGGCAGTCTGTAAAAACTATTCCAGTGAGTTCAGTAATATTTCTGCTGTAATATTTTTCTCCAGCACACCAAGCTGGTTCATTGGCTAGAGGTAATGGAGCAATATCTTTTCAGTGCATGTAAAAATACCCACAGAAGATCACGGAAAGCAGGCTCCTTCATTACTACCCTCTCTGCAATCAAGGAAAGTCGAATAAGTGGCTGTATGTAAGGAGCTTGTTTTGCAGTAAGCTAAAATAAACACTTGACATGCTAATGAAAGCAATTTTATACTGAAGCTCTAAAGTATTAATGGTGTCTGTTATTATGCTATTAGATATATTGTTCTCTGCCTTCAGACCGTTGATAGAGAACAGCAAGCGTGAACTGCATAGCAGATTCTCCTGTCAATGGTTGTATTCAGTAGTTTTTCATTGTAGCGGAGGTTATTGTCTGGGGAAATGAATAGACTGGATACATGGAGAAACATTCTTTACTCCCAGGTTCCCTGCAGTATTTCAGTTTTGACATGTGCAAACATACAGTGTAATTTTTTTTTTTTGTCTTTTTGGGTTTTGTTTGTTTGTTTGTTTGTTTGGGTTTTTTTGGTTTCCCCTCCTCTCCCCCCTTTCCTGGGAGACTAAAATCAGCCACTGATAATTTTGCCTTTCCCCTCGGTCAGGTGCGCTCAGTGATTGAGTGATTGTAAAGTCTCAGGTGAGAAAAATGTCTTTGGCTCTAAACAAAACTTAGCACGTCTTACTTCAGTAGCTTCATAACACAATCCTAAAGTAATTACATAGACAAAATGGCAGTACTTGTCACAGCATAGCAGCCGTGAGTTAGCACAAATGCCACAGGTCACCTGTTCTCATCCTACTGGTTGTCACCAAGGAAAAGCAAATAATTTTTACAAAAGTCTAACAAAACAAAAATTTAAAATGTTCCTTATTTCTCTTAGCTACCTCCCCAAATGTCCTCCTGTACGTGCTGAATGGCAAGGTGTGCACAATACATTTTCTCAATACTGGGAGAAGCAAAACTGTTTGCCCTTTCCTTCCTTACAGGATTTCTCAGATATGAAACGGAGCCTGCACAAGAGCTGCCCCATCCGTTCCCACCATGGTCTGCAGGTGATCAATATTGTATCAAAGACGACTAATACATCTAATAACAGCAGCACAAATGCCTGATCTTTCTCCTCCTCCAGGAGAAAGATAATCAATCCATGCAGCAAAAGCCATTTCTGTGCCTCCTGAGGTCGGGATCATCCTTGCCCTCCCTCGAGGGATGTGAAGACAGAACTGGAGCACAGTGTCTTGCTCCAGCTTTTACTCATAAGCTTCTCCCAAAATGAATGACCAGATTCTTCCTGATAGATTGATAGGTTGTTGGTCTCGCATGATCACCTTAGCTGAGGCGCAGTGTATGTGCGAGGAGCTGGTCTGTTGGAATTGCTTGTCAGGGATGAACTTTGTCTGCTTTCTGTTCACTTGGTGGGAAGAAGAACAGTTTGATGGATAAGCCAAGCCCGGAAGGTCAAAATGAACACAAATCACCTTTAAGATAGTTGGTAGAGTTAGTTCCTTTGCCTGATGGGGTCATCACACTATCGACCCCTTGGCTTTCAAGGGCAACATCAAATGTCTGAATTGTTGCTCGGCACTGTCAGGAGTCCGAGGCTCACCAGCCTTGCTCCGTGGACACTCCGTCCATGAGAGATGTCAGTCTAGTGATTGGAGTACACAGTAGAAATGAGGCGAAATGGAGTCGCATCTTA